TACAATGGCCAGGCCACACTATTATTATACAGAGTGGAAGAAAGCATAAGTAACTCACCAGGGAGGGTAAACCTCAAGATAATTGAAAATATACTTTTCATGGGTACATTTGTAGTCAGTGCACAGTGAATGCTAAGTTATCAGTTGTTTACACTCATTGAAAATTACAATATAAACCAATATCAGTGTGAATTAGGGATGTAAATTAATGTTATTTGTGGAAAAGAGTTGGCCACCCCTCTGAGTCTGACATTACATTTCAGAATAAATTGACAAACAGAGAGAAAAGGCAAAAATAAAGCCACTTTTTCTTTTAATTTAATGCCTGTTTGAAATCTGATTCGAGGTCATTGTTTATTTGTCTTATATATTCACCCCTACATCACACATCCCAGCTCTGGCCAAGTAGGAGTCAATATTTTTTTCAGAATGAATGTAAGCGGCCCACCCACCCTGCAGGAGCAATGTAATTACAAGATATTTCATGACAACAGTTGATCAAATGTTCTAAACACAGCCAAAACTGACTGGCTGCTCCACCCATCCAGGCTGGAGCTGCAGCAGTGTCAGCCTGAGAGTGTGTTGTTCTGGTAAATCTAGCTCTATGCATGGCTCAGCCCACTAGATCCAGCCCTGTGCTGACTACTGTGTCCTGGGCTGCAGTAACAGATGTGAAATCACATTACCCAAACGCTGCAATTAGTCTCACTCGCTCGCGGGTTAATGAGTTTGTGGAAATGTGCGACCCATTCCTCATTAGGTAATTTCTCATGCACTGATGAGAGAGGGAGAGAGAGATGTGGGCATGGCGACTCAGTGGAAATGGCACATAGGTATAGTCTGCTGCAGCTCATACTGTAAAACAGGATGCAGTTGGGCGGGGGGGGGGGGGGGCACTGCAGCTGGATGATTTTTCAGGAGGTGGGGGGTTGGTTAAAGGAAATGAGGCTTGCATGTGTGCTTTTCTGTCTGAGAATGCTTGTGAGGTGGATAAAAAAAACACCATTTACACTGTCAAGTCTTTTGTATCTGCATTGAAGAGTTCGATAGCAGAGGCCTGCTGGGGTTACATCTGTCTGTCTCCTTGTGGGCTAGCTATGCTTATTTCCTTGCTGTGAGGCCAGAGGGTGTGTGTGTGTGTGTGTGTGTGTGCGTGTGTGCGTGTGTGTGTGCATGTGTGTGTGTGCGTGTGTGCGTGTGTGTGTGTGTGTGTGTGTGTGCGTGTCTGTCTGTGTGTGTGTGAATAGACAGCCCAGGGCAAAGCTCTGTCAGGACACAATGGACGACAACAAAAGAACTAATTAGCAATCAATTACCGACATGTTTCTGTCCTGCACCTTTTATCTGGTTAGAGTGTAGAGCAGGTTACCGCTCAACATACACACACACACACCACCTGCTGCCTATGTATGTGTGCGTGTGCAGCCGGTGTGTGTGGGTTTTTTGTTTGCTTTTTTTGGTGAATTTGGATTATTGTAAGGATGTGTGTGGTAACCCAGTGACATATGGTTTTATGCAAGAGAATGCGACTTCTCTCCTGTGTCAGATAAAGGAGAAAAATCTTCAAATTAATCCAATTAAGGCCTTTAGAGGAAGTTGCTTTTCACTGTGTTTTCCGCCTAAGAGTGTAAAAGGCAGTTGTTCATTAGCCTCATCTGTGCCAATCAGTCCCCAAACTCTCCTTTGTTGCATCTCATAGCTTCTCCTTATTGTTGGGATTACATGTGGTTCATCTACGAAAAGAATTTTCATCTACAACTTTATAAAAAACCAACATTGATAAAGGAATTCTTTTGTGTGTATATTTACCTAATTTTGGCCCGTGGCTTGCTCATTTCATCATCTCCCCCTCCACTGCTGTGACACACACACACACACACACACAAACACACACACACACACACACACACACACACACACACACACACACACACACACACATTGACATCTGGGGGGAAAGTGTGTGCTGTGAGGAGGCTGCGAGTGCCTCTCATGATAACAACTCTGCATCTCAACAACCTGCATCCATCATCATCAACACTAACATCTGCTCTGAGCCTCAGCCTTAAATCTCTTTCTAACCCCCCCCAACCCTTTACCTCTCTCTACTTTTCACCCTCTCTCCCCCTTCCTTACTCTCTCCTTTTCGTCCTCTGCTTATATTCTGTCCATCTTTTTTTTTTCTCACAAGATGCCACTGTAGCTGCCTTTTCTGTTTTTTTTTTCAACCACTCTGCTCGATCTGCTTTGACTCTCATCCAAATTCTCTCATCTGCACGGCCATGTGTGGATGTGTTTTCGTTTCAACCATCCTTAAAATCAATATTTAATGATGATGTTATCAGTGCTTTTATGTGTAATTTAGCCAGAGTGTCAGTATGAATGAGACACTGTCAGCTTTATGGCGTCAAGCATTTATTTTCTGTTAATGGGTGCTCCTGGTGGTATACAAACCAAAACCCATTGGACGTCTGATGGATTTGTCTGTTTCATTTCTGTTCACGCATGCGTTCACAGCCACGCGTGCATGCATACAGTACATGTCTACCTACAAACTGACACACACACTTACACACACAAATACACACACACACACACACACACACACACACACACACATACACACACAAAGTGTAGTTGCTTATACAACAATTTGAAAAGTATAAAACAAGAAAGTTGCAAATAAATACCATGGCTGCTGGACTTTGATGTGACATTTCTTACTTTATAGTACCAGAATAACAGTGAATGAGGCACTGACTGTGACTGCATTGTCTCCCATTGGTTTGATCTTAAAACACTAATCAATCAAAGCAGCTGTTTGTTTCAAAAGAGACTCCATCGCCCGATTCTGACATTTTCCAAAGCCATGACAATTACTTCACCACTTCAGCTCTGGGAGCCAACATTGTTGAGAGGCAATAATCATGATAGTTTTCTCAGTCATTTTTCTCCCAATAACAAGCCATTTTTAATCCAATTAGGAGTGCTAACGTGAGAGGCATAATACCACGGCCCCTGGGACAGATGAGAGAATATGCAGGACATTTATCCCGACAGTCAATATTGGATTTCTCACTAAGCAGCTGTGCCTGCTCTCTCTGACATTCTCCACCTCTGCACAGTGATCCGTCCTGATTAAACCGGCTTTTCTACTTTATCAACATTCATTACATGACCTGGTCATGCATGGCCACGGAAACCAGGGATAGAAAAGTTACATGCTTCACGTTGGGGTTTTCCTGCTGCACTTTTTCCATGTATTCAACTGTTTAGTGAAAGATGATCTAACACACGGCTCTCTTTTGGACCTTAGATGTAGCAGTTGAAACTCTATGAGCAGATAGGCGTGTTATGGTATTCCCCAAAAACTCTCCTCACCCAGACAGGCAGGTTAGATGTCCTTTTACATGCTGAATCTGAATGCAGGTGGCCAAGCTAGTTTTGTATTACTATATGGTTCTGTGGTTATAGTATCCAACAGTTGATCTTCTTCATTTCCTGATTTGAATTGCCAGATTCTAACTGAAATTTAAAAACAAAATTCTGGTCACATTTCTTGTTTATTCAGTTCATGCACCTCTGCTAAAATACAGAAAACACAATTCAGTGTGCAACTCTTCATGACAAGACACCAACCAAGAGCTGTCAGCGCTTTAAAGCCGACAGCAGCTAAACATTGCCACCTTCTGGTAGCCGTTGAGAGGATCACAGTGCAAAAATGTTCTTTATTCATTCATACAATTATTTATTTATTTCTTAAGAATTTAGACAGATGGTCAATAGATTTTATCTCATCTCGGTATCACTTAATGAAATATGTCTGTTGATGCTACAGAGAGTTGTACAATTATTGTTCTATCAAAACATTGCTAATAAAACGCAGAAAATGCATGAAAAAGAGGGCTGCTGTTTATAGCTGATTGCAGTCGATACATTTATGCAGTGCACTGAATCATTGTCATTGAGTGCATTGATTATGTGGACTAATCAATGTTTATTAGGCTGGAAAAGACTGACCAGACCACAGTGGAGGCTGAATGATGAAGGAACACATTTACTGTGTGTCAAAGGCCCACCCACCTGAGCAGACATGTTTCAGAGTTTGAGGGAACTTCAGCCAAGGAACTTCAAACACTATGTTTAGGGAACAACATACAGTTTATCTATCCAAAGTGGATATAAGGTCAGTCAGGATTGAATGAAAGGAAGCAGATCTTGCTGGCATTAAAGGTAATCTAACATACACACTGGGACAGTCCTAGCTCCTCTATAAGGATGCAACGGTTAGGAACTCAGTTTGCCTCAAATTTGCAATTAGCCAATATTGAGTTAATTTAGATTCATATAATTTGTAATTTTTTCAATTTTTGCCAAAAGAGGAAGAAATTGGTCTAAAAAAATGTCACTGCTGAAAAACCCATTGCAATAGTCCTATCCTTGTCTCCTGTGGTGCCTCTGATTACAGAGGCTCAACAAAAGACGCCATTGGATTCTTCACAGTTTTTATCCCATCATACCAACAATTCCTGTGGTCTCCTGGCTCCTCCTGCACTGAAACCTAAGGCCTAAGGCCATGAAAACCTGGTTGCAATAGAGTGGCACAATCCCCCATACTGGCCAACAGGTGCTTCAGGAAGCCATGGACATTGACGCACCAGACAGGAGCCTCCAAATGCAAAGAGAGTTGATGCTCTGTTGTTTGCTAGCTGTGTCGGGAGATGGTCACTGCCCTGTTATACACTGAGCCAAAGGTTTGTTCAACCTCTCTCAGTTGTTTTCCTCTGACCCCCTCTAACTAAAACACATCACTCTGATAGCTATGTATTGTTTGTTTGAAAGAACAAGTATTCTTACAAGAAATATACTGTGTATATGTGTAATGTACTGTATCAATAGTGTCTCTTTATAATTTCAACTAATTTCAACTTTGTCTTGTATTTTTCCACCAGGTCAAACTTGGACATCCAGTTTGGACAAATCTGATTGGATCAGTCAAACTAAGAGTATGTAAATATAGGTTTAATGTGTAAATGATGTTTAACTTTTGAAGCATCTATTTTCTTTTAGATTTTGGGCCACTGCTGTCTGATTGTGTCAGTCTGTCTGATTGTGTCTCTTTGGGTAAAGAGGTCTCTTGCTGCTTGAGAACAATTATTCCACAGTGCGTTCTGTAATTATACTATTATGTTGAATTATTCTCTTCATCTGCTTGCACCATCAGTCATCACTGCACACCCTGTAAATGTGTTTATTGCTTTACCAGGCCAAACACAAGTTGTTCTAGTGGCTCTTTCAGGTACATACAATACTTCAGCATAATCTACATACATTTTGAACAGTCTCATTATATTCTTAAAGATGAATAGAATCAAAGTTTGTCCAGTGACCTTGTCAGTGATTGGATAATACAGGAAAGTGTGTGATCGACAGTAAATACTGTTGCACACACTTACAGAGAATAAGTGAGAGAATAAGTTGAATCAAGACGATTTTTATGAAAGTTTATTTTGCATATCCGGTTATTTGTTCCCTTAATATACAGTGTCTCCATGACGGACCCATACATGATTCATTACAATTTATCCTGACCACAAAATGTACCAGATGAAAGACTTTTACAACTAAAAGCAAATCAAACAAACAGGCCAGCATCAGATGGGAGTCTCCAGACCTCCCCTGAAGAACTCGGTTGGAAGGTAATTAAAAGAAGAGTGTGTTATCCATCGCTCCTCATTAATGTACTTTGAATTAACCACTTTCAGGGGAGAGGAATGGGGAGGAGGGGACAAGCAAGAAAATCCATGCAGGCTTTAAAGTAATCTCTCTCTGTCAGGTCGGTCCAAACGGGGAGGGTCGGCTCATTACGGCCCCCACAGGAGATGAATGGGTCAGTCAGGCAGTAAGGAGATCTGGGCTGGACCGCTGCGTTGACAGACAGATCCACACACAGGTGTGTATGTATGTCTTTGTGTGTGTGTGTGTGTGTGTGTGTGTGTGTGTGTGTGTGTGTGTTTGTAAGGGAGTCAACACACAATGAACAACAAAGCAAAAATACTTAGCTATATGTGCTATCTTTGACAGGGAGCAGGTGTGCAGAAGGAGGCTGCATGCTGGGATACAAGGCAGTGTTAAGACGCTAATGTGTGGAGTCAACAATCATTGTGATTTGACTTTGACCACATGGACAGGTGGCCAGCTGAGGCAGTCATCCCAGACACAGAGGGCACTCCAAAATTACACTCCTTAAGATTTTCTCAACTGCTTTGGTCTTTAAGGAAATTCTGATGAGAAGAATTGGCTGCGTTTTTAAGAAAATGTTCCTGCATTTGCCACCAGATGGTGCTGTAGTCTTTTGTCTTGTTGAGACTGAGGCAGCTGACACTTCCACTAGGATTTATTTTAATTATAAAGACAGGGAGCTTTCTTAATTCATTTAATTTAAAACATATCTGAGTTTCATGTTACATCTTCACACAGCATCAGGGCAGCGACACAAACACAAACACAATTCACTGATTGTAATAGCTAACTCAATTTGTATGTGGTTGTCAGTCTGTGTTTTTAGGTCACATGTTAGTGGGATACTTTTGTTGTATGTTGTCACGTTTTCTTAATGTAATTGTTGATTTTATCTTGCCACTGTTGCATTTTTTTTTAAATCCTGATTTCTGCAATGTGACACATTTGCACTGGAAGTTTATCAGGACAAGATGTTCATTCATTCAGGGTTTTCAGTGGAAGGGTGAGGGTTTATGGGAGGTAATAGGGGAAGCGGGATTGGATAGGATTATATTATATTAGATTAGAAGATGAACTCTGTGAATAGACCATCATAATATGAATTGATATATCTGCTCAGCGTTTAGAGCAATATAATGAGACTGTGGGGTTACTTGTTAATTAAAATCTATCGATTCATTTAATAAATTGGATTTAAACAATTACAGTATGTATCACAGCGCCACATTGCACACATGGTAGCATTTGTGAGAAACTGCCAAGGAACAAGCACTTGTAGCACACACATACACACACCATCTAGCATTTTGCTAACATTTTCCTTTCCCTCTGCTGTCATTCACATTAGCAAAACACACTTTAGCAGCGGGACTTCGGCTAATAGGTTCAGACATCTTCTCAACACAAGGGCATTGTAAGACAACTAATTATTATCACTGACCACTGGCTTTTAAATGAAAGTAATACACCTTGAATAGGTCATCAGCATTGTAGACAACAGACTGAGGGGGTGTTAAACCAAATGTTATTCATTATGTTCATTATTGTTTTGTTTTTTCTTTACTTTTTGTTTTGTTTTGCACTCCTGTGTACGACGTCACAGACCTTCATCACTATAACGAAATGTCAGCTATCATTAGCTCAAGATAATTGCGAGCCAGTGTTTCACACAGAATCTCTCGTCTTCATTTCAGATGAATGAGAGAACGTGTGGGTTGTTCCATCAGAAGTGTGTATGAATGCTGACAGGGCGATGATCATCTCGTACACACAGCTACATCTGAGTTTGACCTTTCGCAGTGGCAGCATGGACACCCACAATTAGTCTCATCTAAATGAATTTGCTATGTCACTCCAAACCAAATTACGTCACAGGCTCTCTCTCTCTTTCGCTCTCTCTCTCTCTCTCTCTCTCTCTGACTCTTTTCCGCTTTCCCCTCTCCTATTCACTCTGCTCCTTTTTTGTTATTTGTGTTGTGCAGAATATGACTCTCTCCACAGTGTTCTTGTTTTGTTAAAAGATGTCTTTGAATACAGCTTTACATTTTCATGCTCAGGCTCTCTGGTTTGGTCTCACTAGTAGAATACACCCAGATGGGGTCAAATATTAACTGAGCAACTGGCGCATATTGTGCACACCTCTCCACACAGACATGCAAGGAACAACACAACCATACACTTAATGCTCCGCTGTTGCAGTGGTAGAAGTCGTACTAGCTGGAGCATGTAACATGTGCCTGCCTAAATAATGGAAAGAGCAGTATTAGTCATGTTATCTAAACAAAATTATCCTCTGGTCTGATTATGTGATGACCTTTTGGGTTGGAAAAAAATTAGTGTTAGCAACTAACTCATTACCTCTGCCAAATAGGTCAAATTTTCACCTGTGTCTGTTTGTTGGTTTGTCAGCAGGATTACACAAAAAGTACACTGGCCTTGGTGAAAGTCTGCACTCCACTGAGTGTATTTTCTAGTTACAGAATCTGTTTTCCATTCTGAATATAAAGATAGAAATAATGTTTTGATTGGATTTGTTGATACGTTTTTGCTGCCACAGTATCAATCTCTCTGCTTGGTTTAGAAAGACAAATCACAAAAACCTTTTGATGATTTCTCTGTTAATGATAGGTAGATGGAGAGGGTTCTTTAAAAGTATTCCCTGGATGTCTTGCCTGTCTTGCCCATGCCTTTAACCGGCATTGTGAGCCAGAAGTTAAAGAAACTGGTCTAGTCCACACATAGAGGCCACAAGTCGAAAGAAGAGAGGAGGGCGAGATAAAAGGCAAAATAAGGTACAGCTGGCACTTCCATGTGAATCAGTGGAGGCAGATTGGTAGTCTACATCCTTTCCAGGTAGTCATTGTCTCCTAGAAATGACACTTGTAACAGAGTGGTTGAGAAAAACAAGCACTATGATGCACATTAGGGATATCAGAAAACTTCTCTCCAGTCAGCATTTACTTTGAGGCAAAGGTTCACAGATTGTTTACCTGTACCTCACAGAGGATTAAAGGAACCTTAAGGCCACCATGATCCCTCACTGGCTTCCCACTCACAAACACTGCACATTGTTTTGTTTGGACTGCCTGGTCAAGCCTATAAGGTCCTGCTGCTGGGAACTGAAGGCAGGCCAGTGCAGGGTAGAAGTTCTTGTTTGCATGTGTGTCCTTCTTTACTAAAAGCTTTTAATCCCTTACAAAAGAAGCACATATGAAATGTATGTTTTAGCGTGTGCAATATTAGATACAGCTCATATAGGAAATTTCCTTTAAAACCCATGTGCTGTGTGTGACTGTATCATTTCATTACGATGTGTTTATCTATCAGGTAGCCATTCATCTACAGAAAAAAGTGTAAAAGAGCCTAAAGTTAATTTTAATTTGGGCAAAGGTTCAAAGTAACTCTATAAATATATCACTAAGTGTAAAAATATTTAGCAGTAAAGAAATGTGTTGCACATTTGATAAATTCACATGTGCTACTAGATTTGTACCTCAACATTTGTCATGTTAGCTTCATTTGCATTAATAAAGTGCCACCATAATAACCAACGAGCGATGAATTAGCCTACCTAAGTAAAAGTACTAATTTTGGCAGGAATGAGTTTGATTATGACTTAAAATTAGATTTCTCAATCATACGCAGTTGTTTTTAGCTTCCACGCAACCACGCATATTTAAATGTCTTAATATGGCTTTGAATGACAGCTTTTCACACGTTATCTGAATCACTGTGAGTCCCCTCGGCTCAGTGTTTTTCAGTGACCCTCTGATGTAGGCCTGCCTGTCTGTCTGTCTGTGCTGCTATAAAAGCTGCCACCTCACAGCCGGCGCCGTTCTTTCCCCCCTCAGCTTCAGGAAACACTTTACCGAGAGACGCACTTCAGCATGTCGCTGGCTCTGCGCGCACAGCTGCTCCTCTTCCTCATCTCCCTGTCATCCAGGATGGGGCTCAGTCGCTACATTGAGGTAAGATCCCGGTTTGTTTTAAAAAATATATATATATATATTTAAACTAAAGCAAGGTGGGAATTGTTGATTATGTCAGCCAGGTTAAACTGATGCCTTCAAACTAAAGCTATGACCTGGAACTTGACGTCTATTTCTGTCATGTTTGATTCAGGACATCGAAGCTTCAGATGGATTATATTCTCTGCTCAGTTTGGACCAGAAAAGAGAATCAGAGGATTTTATTTTCCGCCGACCTCTCAGTAAGTGCTGCTGTAAACAATGGCTTTATTCATTAGCTGATTATGGTTAAAACTGTTTACCGACTTGGCAACAACAACTAAACCCTTTACATAATTAAAAGTATTCAGTGCAGCTCTAGTGTCCAGGCAGACACTGTAGAGTCAATCGGTCAATCAATCCGTGATCCTCAGTTCATAGTTATTTGTCCCTGCAGTAACTATAGCACCTGCATTTAGATTTTCCAATAATGAACGCAGTAAAAATGTAGGAATATTATCAATGGAAACAATATCAATGTCTATAGGTCCACTTCTATCAGAGTTAATTCATCACTCTTATGGCACAAATTCCCAAGAGCCCAATCAGCTCTATTGTCTCTTGTCTCTTCAGTCAACACTGGAGGAGTTGTTGTGTTTGACCATAAAGCTGATTACCATCACACTTTCAGCTCATAACAAGTTTTTAAGATTAAACTAAATCAATGAGGTTTTCTTGTGGTGAAAAGATGTCTGAAAGTGTTTTGTGAATCCGTTTACTGTCATGGTAATGTGTGTGTGTGTGTGTGTGTGTTTGGTTTGTAGGATGCTTGGACATGCTGGCCACTGATGGCTTCTTCACCTTTGTTGCGTCTCGGCCACAGCTGGCCTGTGCTGCTTTCATCATCGCTGAACCCAGTGAGGTCATCAGCCTGGAGCTGTCTGACGTCAGTATCGACTGCAGCGCTGGAGATTTCATCAAGGTCGGGCCCCCCCCCCACACTCACTTAAAAATAACACCCACATATCCCCAACCCTCTCGGAGCAAGGAACACAGGAAGTTCAGTGCTTTGCCGTTCAGACACTGAATTCTATTTCATCTTCTTCTGTTCGATTTAAATGGTGCCAAGCAGGGTTAAGGAAGTGCTTTACGGCCAAACACCACACTCTGCATTGGTCACATCACCCAGAGCAAGTGTGGGAAGAGGAAGCTTTGGTTCTGAAGCCAAGCCTGCCAGTTACATTGCAGTATCAGTTCATGTGGGCCAAAGTGGTAAAAGACATGGCAGGGAGAAGGTCTGGGAGTTCTATCACTTTGTTAATACTGACTGGGTTTGAAGTGTTCCTGTATCTGGACATCAACAGCAGCTGTGTGTAACCTGCACACACCCACATCAAGAGAAAGATGCTCATCATGCTCAACAAAACCAAACGCCACGTCTGTGTCTTTCTTAACACGCTTGTCTGTTTTAACGTGATTAACTAAATATTTATAGAACAAAATTCTCTCTGAATAATGGTGGTAATCAAATAAGATTCATGACTCAGCATTATGGATGGTGTAGTGAATCATATTGGACTGACAGCTGTAGAAAAGCCACCTTAATTGGCCTTTGAAGGTGAAATGAATTTATTATCTTAACACTAGAGTGTATGGTTGAATCAAGCTTAAAAGAGGCTGGCATATTGGTCAACTGAACCACTAATTCAATATACAAGCTGTCATCAGTTTTTACTCTTTTTAGGCTCTATTTGTTGGGCATCCGCAAATTAGTCCACTTTAAAAAATTTGGCTGCACAGTCTCCAGTTGCCAATCATGTTCACACTGTAACAAGTGTTAAAAAAAGTGATATGATAGTGCAAAATGTTATTTTAGTATCTCCACTGCACTGGTATACATATAAATTGATTGTTTTAGTTCAATGTTTCACCTCTTAACTGGTGTTTTCCTTTGGGTAATGGCAGAATTGTGTTGTGAGTGAAATTCGGAATTGAAAAAATAAGTATAAGCATTATCTTGTAATTGCTATTCTTGTCATGCAAACTTATGCAAAATCTTTCCTCCTGCAGATGTTTGACGGCTGGGTTCTGAAGGGAGAGAAGTTCCCCAGCAGTCGGGACCACCAGCTCCCTCTGCACCAGCGCTACACAGACTACTGCTCCTCTCCAGCACCGGGATCCACCAGCCGCTCCTCTCAGAACGTCGCCATGATCTTCTTCCGCGTTCACAGCCCCGACAGTCGCTTCACCCTCGCTGTCAAAAAGCTACACAACCCCTTCCGTGAGTCCCGCTGCACATCTTTGATTTATCAATTCATGGCTTAAAAGTTTGAGAGCAAAATAAACAGAGATCGAGTCTTAAAAGAGAAAGCTAAATTGTAAAAAGCAAAAATAAAAAGAGAGAGAAAAAACAAACATAAACAAGGACCAAGGTCTTTCATCTGAATCCGATTTGTGTTGTTTGTGTTTTTGGATGAAGGATAGACTGGTGGTACTTGCTTGTGTGCCTGCATGTGTGTTCTTCCTGGACATTTGCGCCTGGCTGAGCACTAATCAAGGCCGAGAGCGACAGGAAGAGATTGAATAAGAGGGATGCACCTGTTTTCCAGCTGCTTGACAAACACGGTGTTAACACTGTGTCAAGCAACATAACGTAACAGCAGTCAGGCTGTAAGGCAAATGGTTTGAATGGATTATCGGTGGCAAAACAGCATAAATCTCAGGCCAGAATGTAACGTTTTATTCATGTATTGACCGTCAGCTGGAGCTGTCCGCCGTATTGTCCCTTTATTTTATATGATCGCAAATCAAGCGAATAAAACTGGCCATAAAACAGCATTATTATGTCAGTATATGCAAAGATGTGATATATAGTTCTGTCTCTCAATATCTGTAGACCCATATTAGCCAATTCAAGTAGCTTAAAGTATAGTGCTCCGCTTTGAAAATGCTGTACTCAATGCTGTAATTCATCAAAATAAAAGCAGATTTTATATACCATATGCACATAAACAACAGTCAAAAGTCATTCAGATCTTGCTCTTGCAGAACAAATAACTCTCCATAGTATTTATTCTAACGGTCCCCCCTCGGCTTTGATTGGCAAGGCTCCTTTACCATGAAAATGTTTCCAAATGAACAACATGCCTGCAGGAGTGAAGTGTTCCGACTCCTGTTGGTGCCTGTCTAGTCTACCATACAGTTATCAATTCAAATTTCATTATTTTCTTATCTTTGTCATCAGAACTGGAATTGGATTTCCATGCTCAGCCCTAATTGTGTCCCCTCCCCGCAGTCAGCCTTGATTATGTCCAATTTGTAACATGAGGTGTCAATAATGAGTTTCTCTGGTGATGGGGAACTGTTAATTTGAAACCTCTGCCTTTCCTCGCTTGCTCTGTGTGTGTGTGTGTGTGTGTGTGTGTGGTGTGTTGTTGTTGGGGGTGTGGTGTTGTGTTGTGTGTGTGTGTGTGTGTCTGTGTGTGTGTGTGTGTGTGTGTGTGTGTGTGTGTGTGTGTGTGTGTGTGTGTGTGTGAAGCCTGTAACATCATGTCTCAGAGTCCAGAGGGCAGCTTCACCATGGTGATACCACACCAGCGCAGGAACTGCAGCTTCTCCATCATCTACCCTGTGGAGATCCGACTGACAGAACTCAGCCTGGGGCAGGCCAAAAGCAATGAGCTCAGCCCACAGGTGAGACACGCACGCACGCACGCACACACACACACACACACACACACACACACACACACACACACACACACACACACGCACGCACGCACACACTTTACTGAAAAGATTTTTTTCAATGATCAGATGACGGTGGCCTCTGGTTTGGCGATGGTACTGCCATTGTCATCACTAACAGTTGTTAACAGACGGTTCTGTTCTCAGTAAAGCCAGTGATATTTTTTATTTGTCTGAGTCACCCACACTAATCATGTGGACCTTTATGTCAGTACAGCTTGGCATAATCTTATTTCCATTTAGTAAAGTTTCTGTTCACCATTAAGATCCATCAACCTAATTCTGTATGAGCAAGCACGAACAAATCTTACAGCAATAAATCAGGGGGGAAACGCTTGCTATAGTAGCCCGGTTCCAGACCTCAGATTCAGTGCTCTACATCACAAGTTTGTTCAGCAATCCAGATAGATCTGGTGATGTGCTCACTGACAGTGAGTAGGTAACAGTAGTAGGTGTGATTAGAGGTAGGAAGTGATGCAGCTACCAAACTGCATTCATGAAAAATATCAACAGAAAAACAAGCATGTTGATGCAGCTGTGCAGGTTTCTGTAAGTTGACAGAAGTGAAACAAAAAAGGGAATTGAGTCTGATCAGTTCTAGTATTTTTGAATAAAGAATAAAGAAAAGAAGCTACATTTAACAAAAACTTTTAGAACTGATCCAGTTTGTGTGAGATGAGCGTTATGTGGGTGGGAAAGTATTTCAATATTTCAAAAAAAAGTTTTGGAATATTGTATTCACTCAATTTATCATTTTGAATATTTTCATAAAAACTCTGAAAGTACGGTTAAGTGACTTGATAGTGGCTCTTTCATTTTAAATATTTTTATTACATTTGTTGCTGTAAGATTTGTTTGTATTGTGCCGATCATAAAGGAATAGTTCAACATGTTTGGAAATATGCTTGTTTACTTTCTTTCCGAGAGTTAGAGATCAACACCGCTCTCCTGCAGGCAGTTAACCGGAAACAAGGGAAAAACAATGAGCCTAGCAGCACCTATAAAGACACACTTCTATTAACATTTCTTTAATTTGTACAAATACTGAAGTGTAAAAATAACAATCTGTGCTTTTGGACTGAGCTACGCTAGCTGTCTTTATGCTAAGCTTAGATAAATATATACCTGCTCAAGGTATATATTTAATGTTACTGTGCAGATATGAAAGTTTTATCAGTCTGCTTATCCAATTTTCTCCGGCAGGAAAGTGAATAAATATTCGTAGTATAGTTGCATTTGCCCTATTTTGACCTTTTTCGTATTGTATGTGCCATGTCGTAGCAATAGTCAGCTGCAAAAACATTGGCAGTGAATTTCTAAAACTAGTGTCATTGAAAAGAATCCAGGGTTTTAAAAAGTCATCCAAAATCAATGTTCTGTTCGGCAAATAGTTTGCAGACCCACACTGGTGTTCTGAAATTTGCCTTGCTCTAACAGGTGCAGCAAAGTCTCATTAGACTCCAGCGGAAAAATGTCTGATTAATGGAATATAAATAGAGGTTATTATAATTATTACAATTAGGCAAAGTGAGAACACCTGTGCTGGTGTACACTGGATTTGTAGGAGCTTCAGTCCTCTCATGAGCAAAACTAAGCATTAACTTTTTAGCATTAACTAATTAGCATTAGTTTGTAAATGTATTAACCATTTATGAAGAATGTCCAACAAAGATGTTGGTCCGTTTCTGATGTAAAATGAAATTAAATCAGTTTAGATAGTCATGAAAAAAAAAACTTGAATCAAAACATATTTAAAGCAGCTATAATCAATATTTTTATAATAGCAATGTATAAAATGGCAACGTGAAAACAATGTGAAAGGGATCACTTGTGTTAATAAAAGAATTATCCCTGAATCATCTGTTGCTTTCATTGGCTTTACAGAGCTTTATAGAGAGTTCCAGCTCATTGCTCAGCTAACTTTAATCTCAGTGCTCATGTAGCATCATTTTTGGCCTCGGCAGGCAGCTGTTTCCACCAAGAAATGTTCTGAAAACCCACTTTACCCTACCTGCTGAGCACCAAACGGCAGAAAGAACATAGTGGAACATTTAGCAGCTAAAGAGCCAGATACTGTATTTCCCTCAGGAGCTGGTAGAGGCCAAAAACAGAGAATGAATGTTGGACTCACATTGAGCAGCCGAGAAACACGACTCCAAATGGATGATAATGTTGCTTTGTAACTGCTGGATGTGTGTGTGTGTGTGTGTGTGTTCTCTCTGTCTGTTGGAGGTGTGTGTGTGTGTGTGTGTGTGTGTGTGTGTGTGTGTGTGTGTGTGTGTGTGTGTGTGTGTGTATTTGTGTGTGTGTGTGTGTGTGTTTGGTAACAAGTTCAGTTTAAAATGGGATTTGTTGTTGTTATGTTGAGCTCACATGTTTGCACTGCCCCCAAGTGGCCAAAAAAAAATCAGTTATTGCAGGTTTAAGAAAAATTAACAATCAAAGCACATTCTCAAATACCAAAGACGAAAGAAATATCACAGCAACAGAAGGAATTTACACCTATTGACAGTCTTGACAACTGCTACTGCCCCAGTTTCTGCTTTTGCAACAACTACAACCAATATTGTAATCAGGTTTTCCGTAAATCAAAAAATCACATTAAAAGGTGAACTGAATAATATAAATATTTAATGGATTTATTTGTAAGTTTTGTTATTGCTACATATCCATGACTCCTGAAGATGTTGGCAGCTGGTGTGACACTGGCCGCCAGACTGCTGACATTGTGATAAACTGTAAGTATTGCATTTACTGGGCCAAATACAACAACCTGACATTTCTACTCAAATGTTGTGGAAAGTTGTAAGTGTTCCAAAGTCAAGTGTTACAATGTCAAAGATGATTAGTATGAGCAGTTTTACCCGTTCACACTGACTTGCAGTCCTCGTTTTCCCTTTTATGCTTTGCAGTGTTACAGTTTATTGGCCACCAACTATCGATCAGTGGGATAGTGTGAAACCAGGGTAAGTTACTGTCTTTCTCTTGCTGCACTTCAGCACCAGAATGCTTTGTTGTTTGTATTTTACAGAGGCAGGTGTGGTCGGGCTGTTCGGGGTCAGGCGACTACGTGGAACTGCTAGGAGGGAATGGGGTGGACACCTCTCAGATGTTCCCTGTAGCTGACCTCTGTTTCTCCCTCAGTGGGCTCGGTGAGTCTGAGCCCCTCTACTTTACCTCCAGTGTGAATTTTTTCCAAATGTGTGATTGTAACAGCAGATTTCCAACAGAACAGTGACAATTTGTAAATCTGACTTCCTGTGCTGGACTATGACTGTAATATACTGTACTATATGCTATGCTGTAATGTGCTTTGCAATGCTACACTATGCTATGCTATGCCTATCATTGATTTTCACTGAAAGGTACCCTTTTTTGAAACACAGTTTGGCACATTTCACCATGTATATTGATGAAAACATTTCAACTAAATTCTAGCTGCATGCTGTGATCCCACATATGAAAAAACTGTTCACCAAAATTGTTACAGCAGCAAGACCCTCTCACGGTGAGGACAGTTCAGAATATCCTTCCAATAACATAAAAACATTCTGACAGTTTATGCTGCAGATGAGTTCTTAAAGATAATAGGAACATCCCTCATGGTGAAATCACCAGATATTTACAATGCAAATTGTATTTTACAGCCGCATTTTTAAAAACTGATTTTAATATTACAAAAATAAATCAATCAATGTACCAACTAATACATACTTTCTGAAAAATAACTCATGAATATTTATGGTTGTGACTCATTGCCCATAAAAGTACAGTATATGATCAGAGATCTTTTATTAACATTTGAATGAATTCCTACATTTTCAATTGCAATATGCTATAGCCTACATCTTTTCTATACTATATTAGATTATCTCTATTGATTTACCATGATCTTGTTGAATTAGTGCAATGTAAAACACGTCACACAGAAAAAAGAATAAATTAAAAAGATCTGTCCTACTCATACACTTGTCATAACCAGGCTAAGAAGGGCTGGCTGGACAACAAAAACGCTCTGAATGTGCTCCAGTGTAAAGTTTCTGTTTTTCTCTTTGGCCCTTCAGCCCAGATGAAGATTGGTTGTGATAATTCGGTGGTGAGGCTGGTGTCCAGTGGGAACTATATCAACCGTGTTTCCTTCCAGTACCGACTACTGGAACACAACGAGCTCCCCAAGACCCGAGAGAACAGTTTGGACAACTTCTGCAGTGTGGAATGAGATCATGCACACATGCACACACACACACACATATACACACCCACTAATTGCACACTCAGACTCAGAAGTGAACATGCACATGCAATCACACAGCCATCCATTTCTCTGTAAACATGCCAGTTTAATGAAAATGTTCCATTTGACTAATTACGTCAATAAATATTTTGTATTGTCTTTGCCAGATATTTTATTCAGTGCCCTAAATATGTTAGCTTTGATCGTAGCATATTTATTTGAAGGATTATTTTATTCATCTCAAATTCATGGATTATGGAGGATTTAATTGTTTTCTTTTTAGTTGTTTGTCATGGAATCTGTGATACATTATATTTCTTGGCAGACCTTCCCTCTGTTGTTCTTAGTTTACATCAGCTTCAGTATTCTCTGGGAAGTTTTACATCTCTGCTGTCTCTTGTTTATATGACCTTGACAATTTAAAAATAAATATGACTTGCATGATAAAGCACATTTTTAATGTACTGCTTTTGTGAGTGACTCTGTTTTTATGAGCTTAATCCCATTCCATTACAGAACTTCATATTCACTTGGTGTTTGTTTTACTCGTATGCCTCAAAACCACAATACTGTTTTGTTCTTTAGATCTGAAAATGTGGGAATGCTCTTCAGGCTAGTCCAGCACTAAATACAATACATGATGTGCTTGTGCGGCACTAGGAAGATTTTACTCTTTGCAAAACTGTATAACATATACATACCAATGAACAACTGTTGTCCGCTGTTAGCTTTGATCAGGGCAGGTGATAAGGAAGCACAGATTTTGAAATTGGTCAGAAGATTCATGTCTTGCTCTTTTATCCAGTGACACCACTCTGGTCCAAACTGAAATAACTCAGCAATTACTTGATGCACTGTCATGGAAGTTTTTTACAGACATTCATGTTCCCCAGAGGATGAATCCTGAAGATTTTGGTGATCACCTGACTTTTCCTCTAGTGCCAACATGAAGTTGACACTTATATTAATAATCATAAAATCATCATCATCATCATCATCATCATCGTCATCATCTTTATTTGTAGATAACTTTTTAAAACTGAAGTTACAAAGTGATTTAAATTAAAAACAGTCAAGTTACAACATGCTACAACATGAAAGCAAAATAAATAGGGTAAAAGATGAAACATATCAGTCGTGTGTGATCAAAGACATTATAAAAAGTCGATTAAAACTAAATATAAAGAGGAATAATGTGAAACCATAAACAAAACGGTCTGTGCATGAAGTATAATTCTTCTGCAGTTGTTCATGTTGTGTAGTGAAAAATGCCAGTTTAGGGGGTATAGCCTAATATATATATATATTTTTATATATCTATATATATATATATATATATATATAAATATCTGTGTGTGTGTGTGTAGCTATCCATTCATACTTCTTTATAATATGTCAAACTACCATATATCCTGCTACTTACCCATTTGAAGTAATTTAACACTCTAGTTTTTGAGTAATCCAAAAATCAAAGAATAAGAATAAAAGTTTTTGCATAACTTTGACCTGAGAAAAAAATATTTATTTCATAAGTAGTTCATGAGCCTTATATTTTTGGAAGTATTTTTAGAAGTTTAAAACAGTTACTTCAATTGGTCTCGACTGAAAAAACATTTCAGCCTGCATAAAAAACCTGTCACACTTGTCATGATGATATGTCAAACTACCAGATATCCTGCTGCTTATCCCCTGCGTTATGTAACATAACCACCAAATCTATTTTGAAAGCCTTAGCCAAATCATTTCTGTTCTCGGCATTTGAACTAACTGGTTTCTGCTCCTGACAGGCAGAGGGCCACCCACTTATGTCAAGTAAATATGCTAAGGGGCAATTAAGCCAGTGGCCCTGGTGGTTTCAGTGTGTACAGAGACTTCTCCAACTTTGAGGGAAGAGGGTGGTGAAGAGTCAGTCACTGCCCCAGATGACTGTGTTATGCAAGCCCGATACAAAAATTTTGAGGTGCTCAGGAATTTAGACAGGTTGTCAGGTCATTTGCCTGATCTTATGAAGAAGAAATTGTCAAACCTCATTTTGTCTTTTCCTTTTTTCTTTTCAGACACTCCTTCCCAAACCCATCTCATGGAGCATAACGTGATGTGGGGGACGCTGCACCAAATCGACAGAAATTTTATCAAGTTTCTCAAGAAAAAGGTATTCAACTTTTAGACCATGCACAGATTTTAGCAAACTTAATAAAATGACAAAGCCAGACTCTTATCCACCTCCCTGTACGGAGGATTGTGTTGATCAGGTGGGCAGAGCAAAATTTGTAAGAAAGTTTGACCTTTTGAAGGGTTGAACGAGCTCGGGACATTGCCGCATTCATAACACCCACAGGCCTTTATTCCTACAAGATAATACCATTTGGGTTGCAAAACGCACCAGCTGCTATTCAACGGTTAATGAATAAGGCAGTGGTGGGTTTAGAGAGATGGGCAGTGTATTCTGATGTCATCCATAGTGAGAGTTGGGAAGAGCATGTGCATCGAATTAGGGCTTTGTTTGATCATCTAACATGGGCAAATCTCACTGTAAATCTGGCTAAATGCGAGTTTGCCCTCATGAGGATGTGAAAATGAAAATGCAAATGATTACTACATTTTTTTTTTTTTTTTTACTTAAATAACAGCGCATACTGTTGAAAGTAGGGTCACATGACCGCTGGGCTGAAGAGCAGCAGGAGAACAGGTGTGCTAACTGAGCAGCTCACACAGGTGCCATGAGTGTTCTTTGTTCTGTGTCTCATTCTCTGATTGCCCTGCAACTGAGCTGCTTCCCTCTATCATTTCACCTCTGTTCCTGAGTGTGTTTATTTCATTATATTTTCTCAAGTCATGTTTACTTTGTTGTTAAGTATTACATCTAATTTCCTTGGTTTGTTCTCACATGATCGTATATTTAAAGTGAGAATGTATTGATGTACTTATTTTTGATGGAGAATTGTTTATTGTTGAGCTGTTGAGACTACAGAGCATAACAAGGACTGCTGTTTCAAGTGGCAGTTAGCGGGCTATAGCTGTAAAGCAGCTGACAGTGAGCCGGTTAACAGCACTGAACTTTTGAATATAAATATCTAAATATATCAGCTTTTAATGATGCTGTACGATTCATCTGAAAAGTAGATCATCCATGACATAAGAGTCAGATCGCCAACCCCTATGTGTGAACACATGTATGTTAGATAAGCAGCAGACGTATTTACAAAAAGACAAAAACTTGTTAGCTGTAAATGCCACTTTTGCTGGCTGTTCTCGAACTAGTTAATTCATGAGTCAATCTTCATACTTTTGTACTTTGAGTATTAAATGGGTTTTAAATAGATGATTTATTAATCTTTTGTTCTTTTCATAGACTGGTTGGTTTGACTTAAAGTCCTTTCCCTTAAAGCGAAACATTTTTAAAATCTTTCTATGATTCCTGCACCTGCAGTTGGAGCTGTGCGAGGTCGCCTCCTCTGAAACTGATGGGAGCTTCCTGCATGACTTGCACCTGACTGAGTCAATAATGGTAAGTGAAATGAATTTCAAGTAAAAGAACTTACTCAATACTGTATTGTGAAGAGCTGCCTAAAATTTCCCTGCAATTGAAAGTTCATTTTATTTAGTATAATTATGTGTTTTCATAGAGATGCCAGAGCCCACCTCAGGCCAGTGGCACACCTTATGGTCCCCCACATCCAGCAAGAAATGGTAAGTCATGGGAATGACTACACCCCACACCTGTATGGCTCAAATTAGAGTCACAAGGATTTTGAACTTGTAAAAAGATGATCACACATAATTTTAAATGTTTTTGCAAATCAGCCTTTGTAAACCTGTAAAATAAATCTGCATGAGATGGTTCAGGCCTGGTTGGAACCTTTATGTTCTAACCATGTATCAAACCGACGTGTGTGTGTGTGTGTGTGTGTGTGTGTGTGTGTGTGTGTGTGTGTGTGTGTGTGTGTGTGTGTGTGTGTGTGTGTGTGATGCACGCTTTGTGGGCTAGTGGAAAAAACCTATAACAGTTATGAATGAGTTCATTATTTAGACAGTTTGTTTATTTATCTGGCTTAGCTCTCCTGAAATTGACCACTGCAGGAGGTATGTGTATTCAAAATTGCACAACCTTTACTTTGAAAACGAGCTATCTCTGTTTCTGGCTCTTGACTTCCTTGTTAAATTTTCATTGTACAAGTTGGATGATGGAACAAACTGACGCTTTGGTGCGCTGAATTGAATCACACATCTTCATTAAGTGGTACAATAACACACGCAAAGCATTGACAGTGTTTAGGCAGCATCGGCTGATGAAGAATGAGCTCACAAATGTCAACATACATTTGCACTAACACAAGTAGGACAATGAAATTAGGCAGTACCCCCTAAGATGGCATTTTTCATTATACAATGTGAACAACTGCAGAAGAATTATACTTCATACACAGACCAGAAATCAGGATAGGCTCTCTGATAAAAGTAGGTTTTAAGAAGGGATTTAAAAGATGTCATTGACTTGGCCTCATGCAGGTCATTAGGGCCTTAACCGTATGGAAGATCTGGAAGATAAAAGACCTCAACCTAAAATTCATATTGTACTAAAAAGCCATAAATGTACAGATGAAAAAGGCCATAAATAGCCTTAAAACTAAATTCTAAAACACACAGGGAGCCAGTGTAAAGAAGCTAAAGCAAGAGTGATGTGGTCATGCCTCTTGATCCTGACAGCTGAGTTCTGTACAGTCTGGAGTCAATTAATTGCTTTTTTGGCTAAGACGAGTAGAAATGCTGTTGCAATAATCAGACCGTGAAGAAATAAAAGCATGTAAAATGGTCTCTGTCTTTAAGAGCAAGAAAAGATCATGTTTTCAAAAATGTCCAACTTGACCAACTACATGGACATTTGTGGGCTTCAGTGAAATGTCTCTACATCGTGTGGTGGGATTGCCATGCAGTGTGGAACAGACATTCTTAACCCTCTCAGGATAAATGGTGGTAACTGTTAGGGAATTTTTAACTTTATATTTAACAGCATCATCAGGTCCAAATTTGTATTGATCCAGTACTTTGGGTTAGGGTTAGCTGTGCTATGTGTTTTGTGCTAATTAGCGAATGGTAGCAAATGAATATGGTGAAAGTTATACCCGCTGAACATCAGCATGTTAACACTGTCATGGTGAGCATGTTAGCATTTGCATTTAGCCCAAATTACTATGCCTACATACAGCCTTACAGAGCCACTACTGTTTATTATTGCTGTATGGATTTGATAAATGCTGTGTGGTATGGAAATATTAATAGTCACACATAGACACATGGACTTCAGAAGAATAACGTCTAGTTTTAGATCAAATGCTTGCAGTTTAGTCATCAGTGATACATGTGTGTATATATACAATGTGTATGTGTATTCCAGTGTATTAAAAATATGTTCTTGGCAAGCAGTATTTAGAAATGACGCATACATTTCTTTTTTTTTCTTTTTTTTAATCCAATCTGTTCCAGAGACAAACTCTGAAATAGCTTTCATAGTGGTTGATTGTTGCTCAAAATCATAATTAGAAAGGCTTTATACTGAGAGCACAGAATAATTTACCACATGTCCTAAAACTGTGAGAGTACAGGTTTGCTTGTGACCCCCCCCCATCACCAACTGTAGCCATACTGTACAGTTGTGGATGCTCAGTCTGAATGAATGTGCAGCTCTTAATGGGATTATCCCACAAGCCTCAGTGCTCTTATTCCCCTCGACATCCTTCTCATTGGCTCGCTTTTGATCTTCTCCTTACGTGGAATTAATCTCAAACCTGCTCAACCATGATGATTCAATTAACCAGCGGATGTCTTTTTTCGCTCGATGTGTTGCAATTTTCAGTCTTCATTAGAGAATGAAATGCACTTTGGATGCCATCGAGAGGGATAAAGTCTGATTATTTGGTTCTAGCACTGGGCACAGCAGTCTTGAATAGTCGGTAATGTATTTATAGTGATCTGTGACGGTGGCCTGGAAATGAGTTTGTCACTTGTTTGGCCGAGAGGGGTCACAAGTCATTGTGGATGAAATGTGATCCTGTAGCGAAAGAGACATGGTTATGTTATTAATAACACTGAAGTCACAGAGAGAGGAAATGATCTTTATTTAAGATATTATTCACACTGGACTGGTCAGTGAATATGCCACAGAGAGAAAAATCTGCTACTGCTACACTTCATGATTAATTCTCTCCCTTTCTCTCTCCCTCCCCAAAGAGCTGTTCTCCATCAGTTTATTTTCTACGATTGTTTGTATTGGACTTTTCCAAATCTCAGCTGATTTATGAAGTTCCTGTACTTCCAGGAGAGGTCTACACTGCATGAGGTCTGACTCTGAGAGTATAACTTCCTTCTTTTGGGAAGATTGTAACTGACTCACTACTCCAATAGTTAATATCAAAGGGAGCATCAACCATAATACCATCTGCTGTGCAGAGGTTGTGGATTCCCAGCTGATTTACACATTAACATCTGCATAATTATCATAAATAATAGTGATAGTATAGAGCTCATGGAAACTGGAGAGACTGGCAGCAAATAAACCCTCACTCATATCTAAGTGTATCTGTTGTACATGCCAGATAGAGCATAAATCAGCCTTACTTCACAGCAACACAAATGAAAACAGTAAGCATTCACACCCATACACGAACATTCAAGCACACACGTGTCCATTGCTCAACATTTTATGACCAGTTTATCTGTGATCTCAGCTCTGAGACTCTCTGTGCCTCTTTAGAGTAAATTAAATCAATCTACTTCACAAGTCAACATCAGCAGCTGACCCCAGAGCAAACATATCACAACAAATTATACACAGCACATTGTTCACATATTGCATGTATGTGGTTTACTGTTATCACTGGACTGCATCTGCTCAGTCTTTGAGTCATTTTGTGAATTTGCAGCTGTTATATTTATAACAATAATATTGTCCTACATTCATCAATTTACTCATAAGGCTGACTTTGCAGCAATCAGCTCTTTTTTTGCTTTGATGCGATCTGTTCTTTGAGCTGATGTGCAGTTACAATTGCAGACACAAAATACATTTGTGGTAATTAAATTCTTAATTAGGAGTATAGATTAACATAATTCAAAATGGTGTTAAAATCAGTCCTTTATGCACATTTTTGGATGATGTGTCACAACAATACATCTTTCACTACCTGTTATTGGTGTCATTGATGAATAGTAACTACAAACATTAGAGAATGAATGTCTGGAGTTGCTGATGAAACTATGATGAATACTGTGTACACAGGTATAGGCATTCAGTTTTGTCCTGAAACTGAGGTGACAGCATAAAGATTAAACCACTGTTGTTTAGTTTTGCCTTTTTATTTTTTGCAGCGCACATGACCTCAAGAGTAACTAAACAAAGGACTCTAAGTTTGTTTATATGCAGTCACTTTGTAATAACACTTTGAATTGAGATTTGATCTGATAATCCGCTGGGTGTGGCCTTGATCTGCTCTTTCAGAAGTGCACACCAGGTCAATTGGTAATTTCTTGGCTATGACTTCACTTCACAAAAATGTACATTAATTATATGACTGCAATGTAATTACCCCAGTAAATCAAACTATGACCCCTGGCTGCCATTATATTGTAGTTGTTTAATTTTTGAAACTGGTCCTAAAGCTATGCACTGCCAAAGACTTAAATACCCTATAACACCACATGGACCACTTACATTAAAACCCTGCTTACTTAATAACAGCAATAATGGACGATTCTCAACAGGAAGATTCTTCATAATGAGCTCTTAATGACTTAATCTTAAAAACATATTTTAAAAGCAAATTGCTCAAAAAACAGTTATGATAATTTTTGGTTCAGGGGTTAATGCATTTACTTTATATGCAGATCCTCTGAACTCATATTAGACATAACTGACACACACAAATATGTATGGACTTTGGTTAGTGTGCCACCTTTTGATTTCTCCTATACTGCCCTCTACTGTGGAAGATGTGAATTTGGTTCAGTTTTTCTAACTCAGATCATAAGACAGTGCGCTTCCAGGTACTGTTTCTCTCTCCTCCATGACACACAGTACAACATGTTTCATGTGGGATTCATTATTGCCTGGTGTTTTTAACTATACACTCACCTCTTGAGGTGTATGCAGAAAAGATGTGTAGCAACGCTGTTGTTTAAATGTGAGAAAAAACAAGTTGGCAAATTGTATTTTCAAAAAAAATAATGTTTACTTGTAATACCAGTTTATATAGGTACATGATATATATATATACAAATATTTCAAAAAATATACAGCATCTATTCAGTATGTAGGTGAATAAAGTTATACTATACAACATATACACAGTGTATACACGATACACAGTGCAAAAAGTAAATTCTTCTCAAAGGTCAACCAAGAGTTTTGATTTCAAAGGCTTCCTGGAAGGGCTCCAAATATATTTCAAAGATCACTGCTGCCTCCAAAGCCATTTGATTATCAATGTTTCCACTTTGAATGCTGATCTTCTTCTGAAAACACTGGTTTAGACTTTTACAGCATGATGGTGAGAAAGATTAGGACATTGAGCTTCAAATGAAGAGTGTAATAATGGCTAAGGGCACCAGAAGGAGGGGGACAAAGACTCCAGTGTGTTTTGCTCCATTACACAGGTCTTCAGCACAGCATCTGACACCCACAGAATAGACATTACTGCAAATATCACTCCTCATACAGTGTTTGCTGACCAGGTTTTGAGCAACTGCAACAGAGAAAGACACGAAACATTCCTTTAAATAAATTATAATATGTGATAAGGCTGACAGAATTATAGCTCAAAGTATGCTGTTCATAAAATTCTGTCAGGAAAAATGAAAATCACACCATAAAGAATACACAATATTAAAGCCACATGTGACGGTATATTAAACTTACCTATTGTGGAAGCACAGCGGTCATAACCTTTAGGACACATCCATACCTGATTGCAGGTGCCGGGGTGGTCACCCCAGCAGGTGTAACACCTTAACCCAGACACTGCAGGTAAAGGAGAAGGCAAAATGTTCACAAAGGCAGAAAGAAAAAAAAAACTCAAATTCTGCATTAATTTTTTGGGCTGTTTGCTCATCTTTTCCGCTCTTACCTGCAGGCAGCATCACACAGAAGAAAACCAAAGATACACACAGCCTCATTTTGAGCCTTTGATCAAATGAGAAAGTGCAGAGAATTGAAAACTGGTCAGATGTCTGATGTCAAGTGAACATTATCCACCTCCTTTTGTGTTTTATAGTCTCTAAAAAAAAAAAAAAAAACCTCACCACATTGGCTAACTACTAATGATGTTTGGGCAGATCACGTTTGGGGAGTGTCCACCAGCACCAGTCATCCTGCAAAGTTAAGGCATTAGTTTATGTTGATATATAGTTCTCGACAATTCTTATGAATTCATTATCAATCCATTTTCCAAAGTGTTCCAGTTCCAGTGTCAATAAGAGGTTGCTTAACTTGAGAACTTGCCTTGAAACTTTTTTCATTTGTCTTGTATTTACCCAAAACACAACAGCCATCAGTTTCATCTGAGATTGAAGCTGCCACACCTGGGGATGTCAATGTGTAACTAATCAGTGTTTACACAGCCAAAGTGATCCACATTGACCTTAATTCGTATATCATAGCTGTAAAAACTTTCCTCTATCAGGCTTTCCTGGAAGAAGTGCACATATGCTGATGTTACACTTTAAGTGGTAGAAAATCACAGCAAACACTACCACTGGTTGTGTATGAAACATGATCTTCGCTTTTCTTCATCTTCACTATCCCTGCTCAGAAAATCTAATTTTAATGCCCATCAAATAAATCCTAGCCTCATTCAGATGTTATAATTGCAGCATTCATTCTTTAGCAGCACACACTCATACACACGGACAGTTTCTGAGCTCTTTAGTTTAGATCTCTAATAGCATTAATAGATCTACGTCATTAATCTGCTGCCAGAAAAGGAAGAGCGACTCTCTGAGCAGCAGGATTTAAAGGGACCATTCACCCAAATAATCATAACACTAATTTCTCATGGCAGGATGCCTTTATTTATAAAGTATGATCCCCACTTTTTTTGCCTAAGCATGTAGATAAGATGAAACTGGCTATGTCATGGTGTTAACCAGCCACCTCTCTTTGGCCTGTCTGCTGTTGGTGAGCTTGGCCTTTTACCCCTGGATTAAGGTGAGGTCTGAATGCCAGGTTAACCACCAGCTGCCCGTGAGGAGTGATCCATCACTTGTGTACTATTTTATTCATGATGTTTTTTCCTTTGTCATAGTTGATAGACAGTGAAAAAATCTGATCATCAAAAGAATATGGACCTACTTGCTGCAGGTACAGTGGCTGTAGTCTCCTTTGTGAGTCATAGTGCTCGACACGTGGGGCTTCAGCACTTTATTATAGAGTTTCAAAGGTCATGACATTATTGTCCAGTATAGCTCCATCTGATTAGGTCTGGCAGTCGGCCATGACCTGATAGCATCTCTGTCTGGAAGTAGCAGAGAAGTGGGAGGTCGTGTGTGTGTGTGTGTGTGTGTGTGTGTGTGTGTGTGTGTGTGTGTGTGTGTGTGTGTGTGTTGTGTGCACTTGAGTTCTGTTTTTTTCTTACTGACCTAGATGCAGCTCTGCTTTACAATCTTGTTTTGCATTTTTTTTTACCAGTTTTATGGTTTTATGAAAGCAAAGACTATTTTATCTAATCGAATGTTTTGTCATATTTCTGTCGTAAGTGAATATGAATTGGTTGGATTTGATTGATACTAACTGCTGGAAGAAGTATGCAGAGCTTCTACTTATGTAAAAGTAGCCTACAAGAATTTAAAAATACTGCATTAAAACCTAACTTAACATGTACAGCAGATTGCATTTTATACAAAGTAAAAGTACTGTTACTGCTCAAAAAAGGCTGATATATAGTTAAAACCCATTTAGAAACAGTTTTAAGTTAAGTTTAGAAGTTTCATGGTTTCATGGAGCAGGAAAGAAGAAAAAACTTTAAATGTTTAAATGTAAATTACAAGTAACAAATATTCTACTTAAGTACTATACTTGAGTTAGCTTAGTTCTTTTGCATGTTTAAGGTTTCAGTTAATTTTCTGCCTTCCACCCAAAATTGAAAAACCTGCCAATAATACAACTCAGTTCATCAAGAGTTTATTGTGTTTAGAATTCATGTACATGTAATAGATTTATTGTGCATGTAAGTCAGTACAGTGCTAAACATGCCATGAATATCTTGTAAGACCAACAGTTAAACGACCAGCGGTTGGAGCGCCTGCTCTATTCCAAGATTCCCCGCAGAGGTGACGTTCACTTTCTGAACTGAGAGATGGGGGAGGGGATCTTGATGTCCTGCCCCTTCTCCAACCTCTTCTCACATTCAATTAGGTAGTTTATACCGTCAATCACTAATTGTACCAGCTCGACCTGTGAACACATGGCAATTAGTGTTAAAAAAAAAAAAAATCACATGATCAATATGTGCAAAGTTATTACACAGGTTCAAGTTATGTTTTAATTGTCCATGCAAATGACCTACTGTGGTCCTGATAATGGTCATGGTCATGACTCAAGAGTACACAGGATTTTATTTCATTTTACAAGAGCTCTGATTTCAGTGATCAGTTTCTCTCTCAGGTTAAAGGAGAGCAAATAAGTGAAATCAGCTGGTTTGGCTGGGATAAACTGAGTATAATTTTAACTCAGCATTTTATCTTTTTCTTAAGTTCTTACTTTCAATTTATTGCATGTGAACTTGCATATTCCATCACATTTCAATGAGCATGTACTTTACATTACATATATACTTGTACTCGTTCAACATACATAGCAGTTGAGAACCAGTGGCTATTAACTATTATGAGCTGTTTCAATCCTGTGTGATTCTGCTGCTTGTTGTCTATTAGAAATAAAATGCATAAAAGGGCTCACCCTATAAGAGGCAGTGGCAAGTTCAACTAATAGCAGTAGACTTTTGCTCCCTAAGTTTAGCCTTTCGGGCTCCTGCCTCCTCTGGTGTGACTGGAAGAAACTCCAGCTATATCCCTGACCTTAACCATCTATGACCTTTTATAGCATTTGATTGATAGCCCCTGTTGGTTCACAGCCTGTGTGGAAGTGCTGCATGAAAGGCTCAGCTCAGGGAGCAGAAGTCTTTTAACCTCAACTGGCATATCCCTGCTTGGATTACAGATTAAAGAACAGCAGGGGGTATGGTGATTCACAGCCCACACCTGTTAGGATGTCTGCTCCTCTGTCTGACTCTGTCTCTCTTTCCCTGCTGCTCATTTCTACTTCTACTTTGCCTGCTGCTTTCCTCTTCAGGTGCGTACCTCGGACTTGCCCAGACGGTCGAGGTTAGAGATGTCAACGGTGTCTCCGGTAGCAGCTGTGTCCACGCCTCCTGTGCCTCTCTTCTGTAGCCTCAGGTTATCCAAGATCTTTTTGAAGCGAGGGTCCTGGATCATAAACATCACACACATTCAATCATTTTCAGACATGAGAACCACAACTTGGGAGGGAACGTGTCTGCCTTTGTGTGCAGTTGCACTTGTCAGTGTGTTTCCTGCAATACCCTGCTGAGGTAGGGCAGGCGAATATGGACACCAGCCCTGAGCCCAGTGCCAAGGTTAGAGGGGCAGGTGAGGATGTAGCCCAGACGCTCATTCCACATGAACTCCCAACCTCTCTCCTGAATGAGTTGCTCCACCTAGAAGTTACAAGAAAAGACCATTTGTATTTCTAATTTTTGGAATGCACATGTAACAGACACATGTAGCAGATTGGAGATAAAACACACTGGACCATGGTGGCGCCAGAAGACACAGAGGTATGTATACCTGTTTAAGACCTCTGCAGAACCTTTCAAACACTCTTTTCATGTTTCCTCCTTTCTCCATGGATATGACCCTTGTGTGGTCCTCTTCATTGATCCAGATCAAGAAGTTCTTCTCATTGTTGTGCCTGAGACAATCAGGAAGGCAGTTCAACACTGACATTTTACATCCATGTTTATATATTTGCTGATACAACTGAGTCTTTATATGAAGAGAAGAAACGTTATTTTCAACATCATATTCAGCAGACCAAGTGCCTCCAGTGTCAGGCTGGTCATGGGTTATTATGGCACAGATGGGGGAGTAGGGATCAGAGCAAATGTACTTTATCAAAAAGAAAAGGATTCTGAAGTTTTGGAGATAAAAGAAGAAGAGAGGCATAAGAAAAGACATGTTGGGATTGCAGAGGAGAGTAAAAAATGCTTTTTGAAAAGCATGATCATTTTCAGTTTGGGTCTGGAGGAGTTCTGGGATACTACCAGTGATCTATTATGCACTAAATATATAGGAAAAATATTTAGATATAGAATTCTAGAAGTGAGCGAGTTTGAATCTGCTTGTTGTTTTTGTGGTGATTTTCAGCCTTACTGTAAGGGGGGAACAGTGTTTTCTACATAATCAGTTCTTACATTGCCCAACCACAGGTGGTGCCTGTGAATGTCAGGCTGAATAAACTATGCAGTGACTACAGTTTCTGCGGGGTCTCTAAGCTACAAAACCAGACATACGTATCTCTTTTAGACTAAGTTTCACCTACTCTTACCAGATCCCACGAGCATCAGGCCAATCTCTGGCCATCCCAGCTGCCGTGAGCAGAGGTGACACAGGTTTATCAAACAGGAAGTGCTCCTGATTGACCAGTGAAGGGACAGAGGAACCAGGAAGGTGGGGGGGCATTAGATGGCAAAGGACATCAAAAAAGAAAGTACAGAAACCAATCTTGTCTCTGACTCTGTGTGTGTGATTGTGCACTAACATCAATAAGCTGCTGTTGCTCCCTGTCACTCATGTCTCCCAGGCTGTAGTAGCGACCAGACAGGTCTCCCTTCAGGCCGGACAGAGCTGTCACCACCACACGCTCCACTTCACGACGCTCCGAGCGCGAGCACGCAGGGGGAAGACTCAGTCCACGGATGCTACGACCAGTACGGACACGAGATGACAGCACATAGCGCTCATCAAACATTCCTGAGGTAATCTGAGGAGGAGAAAGTATTAGGTTCACCAGTATACAGGAGTGGACACAGGAATCTATGGATGGAAGAGACCATGAGATACAGAGAGCAAAGGAGTGAAGAGAAATGCAGGTGTAACCTTGGAAGCGTCCAGATCAGTGGGGTGCTTCATTGTGCGAGGGTCATAGCCATTGTGTCTGTCCTTGATAACGGGGTCAAACAGCTCAGCAAACACCTGATTTAAACAAGAATCAAACATTCAGTTTTTCCCAATTTAGCATTAAAAAATATGCAACAACTCACTGTAAACACTAACTCCTACCTCGTAGCTCTCCTCATCTCCAGCTACCATGCCCACGGTCTTGATGAAGGGGTGTCCGGGGTTGTCTACCCCAGTCTGGATGCATTGGTCCAGGGTCCAGTTGTGGGGGGTTTCTTTGTCCCTCAGTCGTGCATACATAGTTGGGGTCAGGGCTGCTGCCATGCAGTTGTTGTGCTTTCTCAGGTCAGGGAAATCAGCACTGTAGACAGTTAGCAACAACCAACTCAGTGTTTGACAAACAAGGTTCACTTAGTTGAGCTGTTTTCATAGTTTAGTCTGATGTCAGATGTGCTAACTGCTACAATTCAAGAGGGAGTCTTTGCCAAGACATTATGTGGTGACAGATGTATGCATCTCTGAAGACAGAAACAGTCACGCTGACACACACACAAATGTAACTTTCTTCAGTTTGGATCAGGCAGCAATTTGCATGTATACCATGCATTGTGTCTCAGTAATCTCAAACAAGATCATGCAATATCATGAAAACGTTTTATTTATTGTATGAACTGCAGGTTTGGCGACCTCAGTCTGCAGAAATAACAGAAATGCTTAAATGTCATTGATCTTCTTTGATGGCACCAGTAATGTAATGTTGCTATGGAGCAACAGCAGCTTGGCTGTTGAGGTGAAATACACCTACACTCACACTTATGTACCTGGCTGGATAGAGCCTCTTCCTCTCAGCAGCGGCAGTGCTGTCACTGAGGAGATATCCAGATGTCAGTGTGCCAGCTCCTATGCTGGCCAACACCACCGCTGTGTTACGGCCAGACATCACACGGGTGAAAGAGTTCGCCATGTTTTACGTGATCTGGGTAATCACCTGGAGAAAGGTCAGAGGGCAAAGGTGATTTTCGAACAAGTTCAAATATGGTAAAGGTAAAATAATATAAAAGGTAAAATAATAAATTCCAGCCTGCCATTGTAAAGTGTTATTTGAGACAACATTCAGATCACTGTTGTCTGTTCTGTAATTGAGTTTACCACACAGGTTAGGTATCCATACTGAATGTGGTAAAAGAGCTGAAAATGTCAAGATATTAATCAATGTTTACTTGCAGTACACTGCAGCATGCTGAACTATTGGATTAACCAAGCCTGAAAAGCCTGAAATTGTGAATCAGATTGTTAAACCAGACTTCCCACAGGAGAGCAGAAAGATAGCAATCTATAACCTATAAGTATCCGAGCAGAGTATTTATTTTACAGCTTTATAACATGACTGTGTAAGTGTATGAAAACAGAAAAACTGCAATAATCCAAGCCTTTACAATGCATTTGCATTTTTTGGATTGCAGTTATAAGTGGCTTTTGAATTTAAAGTGACAATATTGCAGCACTAAATATATTTAACATTTTACATTAAGATGTATTAGCACACATCTTAGACAAAAGTACTAATTGCATTAAGCTATCAAATGCTTAAGTAACAGATATGCCTGCAGCTTGTGTGATGAGATTATTCTAGAAGCAGAGAGAAGCTCTCTGATTGGTCGGTCTGGAAGAGTCACCAGCTCAGGTGATCAGATGATTTGTGATTGGATACTGAGAGAGATACCACCATATTAATATAAAATGTCATTGCTCAGCCCTTCCAAAGCCAACCACTCAGATAATGTCAATCAAATATCAGAATCAACCAAAGAGGGACAGTTTATTTTCTCTTTCCTCTGTTATTTTAGGATAAGTACAATGTGGAAAAATAAATATAACATTATAAATCCATATTACAACACTCCTATGAGAGGCTGCTGTATTGTTGCACATTACCCATAATACAAATGTAAATTGTGTATCAGTCTTGAACTATGGGTCAAAGTCACCTTTTACCCACACACACACTATTGATTGTAGCAGTTGGTGAGATTAAACTGAAGTCGCCAGCTTGGAGTTGGCCTTAGCCCATGACAACACATGATCCTTTCTGACATCCTGGGCCGGTCAACTGAGCTTACACAAGACGGAAGGGAAGAAAACTTAGACAGAGAGTGGGCGGGTGGTGAGGAGGACTCAAATAAATACTGGAAAGATGGAGAACGAAAGGTAGTTAGGAGGAGTTTAAGTGAAGCTGTGGAAAAAACAGATAATGTGGATGTATACGAAGACACCACAGATTCTCACTGTAAAAATAAATCAGATAGACTTGGAAACAAGAAGAGGCAAGAGGAAAGATGAAACTGTATGAAGGAGTGAGGGGGTGTGTAAAATGGGTTAAGGGTCAGATTAAGGTCAGGGGGAGGAGTTAAAGAGTATGAAGACAATTAAAAGAGAGAGAATGGAAAAGGTAGGATTAGAGGGATTCCCATCAGAGACTAGAAGATTAAATGAAGAGGGAAAGTAATGAGGAGAGGCACCAGCACCCTTTGACCTTAACTGAAAAGCGGAAAGTCATATTACAAAGTGATGTTTGTTAGTTTTAATTGATTTTCTATAATTGATGTCAGTTGCTGACAAACAGCTGCTCCCTGTTGATATCAGGCATATTAAGAGACTAATGCAGGTGGCTGCTGTGTAGGCTATACATTGTACTGTAAATGTTCGCCTGAGGAGCAAATACAAAACAAAAGGCTAGGGCAGCTAATGAAAATACTGGAGTCTCCATGTTGTGCAGGTATAATAGATGATTAAAACATTCAAGATGTATTATAATCCTAATTAGCTCTTTATTCATACTTATTCATACGTATATATACTTTACATACATGTATACTCATACATACTTTAAGAGGAAAGCTGATGCTCCTAACAAACATAAATGGATGAAATTTGTCTACATAAAGTCTACATAACTGTTGTAACAGCTACTGCACTGCACAGTATAAGCAGAAAGGAAAAACAGATTATCTGGAAAAGAGAGGGATGAGAAGTTAAGCAGAAGAATCCATCACTCACCTGAGGATAGCTGAAGAGTGGAGGCAGCAGAGGGCTGGTGTGTGTCCTGCAGCTCAGTCCAGAGAGGCTCGATTTGCAGAGAGAGAGCAGACTGAAGAACAGAGATTGGATCAGAGAGAGAGAGAGAGAGAGAGAGAGAGAGAGAGAGAGAGAGAGAGAGAGAGAGATGGGGACACTGGCTCAGGATTAGCCTCTCACTGGGCAACAGACAGAAAATCCTCTTTCTACTGTCAGTCAGCATGTCTGCCTGCCTCTTCACACATGCACTCAGGCACATGCATGCGCACTCACACAGGTTTCTGTGTATTACAGCGACACTTCTCCCCAGACCAGTTTTTGTGCTGGTGTATCTGGTGTGCATGCACAGTGAATTAATTATATATAACAAAAAAAGGGGCTTTCATGTTTCATGCAGTAAAATATGAGTTGCCCATTTTCAAATGTCTAAACTGTAAGGGAGAGCGGGGGAAGGTACCTGACACGACACATACAAACACACACAATGGGATTTTTCCGTTGTCACTTTGTGTATTGGACTGTGTCACCGAGCCTCAAAAGAATCAAACTCACAACCTGATTGCCTTCAAGCAGTCCTCTAACACCATGAGCTATATTTGCTTTGGCTGCTAGACTTCAGAATTTACCCTAGATCCTGAAGATTGAGCACAAGACCTCAAAACTGCGGGGTAGTCCTTTTCCTCCCTAAGACTTTCCATTGGATTCAAAATGTAATGCACCTCTCATGGCTAAAACCCCAAACCCTAAAGCTACCAAACAGTCCTCTAAACCCCTCAGCTATTTGTCCAGTAACACTTCTTACAGCCTTTCACTTATTCCTCTGGATAAAGAGTGAAACAGTCTCAGCATGTAAGAGGACTGTGAACTTGCTATTCTGAGGTTTGATTCTTATGAGGCTCAATTAATTTTGGTTGTTCCTTAAATCCTCAGTTAATTTACCTAATTTTGAAGTCCAACATCCAAAGGATGGACACAAAAGGTCTAAGAAACATTGTGCAATTGGTCCTGTCTCACTGGCTCAAGGAGTCAGAGGGCTTTTGCAAAGTTTTAAGGTCAAGTATGAAATCATTGTGATGTTCACTAAATTTTGTAATGACCAAAGGAAAGAGTCACAATTTCAAGAAGTGAAGCTCAAGTTGTTGTTGTTGGAGGCCCACTCTTAAGTTTCAAAATCATGGATTCAATCCTCAGGTTCTGCACTGACTTTTGAATTCCAACACCTAAAGTAAACACTCGAAGGCTCTGACAAATATTGGTCAAGTATCTTTTAGCAGCTAGCACTAACACTTCAACTAATACTCAGTTTCTCTGAATCACTGTGTCCTCTTTTATAGGTCAAAAGCTCTTATTTATCACCTTAGTGGCTGTTTTCTATCCTAAATCTCCAGTAACAGAAATCCAGGTCTACTGAGTGAGTACATGCTGAGTTTCATAAAATCAGAAAATAAGAAAAACACAGATCGGTACTATTATTCTGAGGAATAAAAGACACACGTGAGTAATTATGCATATCATACATGCTAATGGGCCTATTTGGACTGATTAAAATATGGGTCATGGACATCTTACTTGTAAACAAGATTAACAGCCCTGCTCAGAATATATGCACTTCCTCAAAACATTCTGGTATGTCACGTGTTTTGATTGTACTTTTATATCATTCAGTGTAAAGTCCACTTTCAGTAATAACATGAAAGGTGGGGGGAAATGCTATAGTTTCCCAAGGAGGCACAATGCTACACAAATATACTGTAAAAATTTTTATTCCGCTTTTTAGACTACACACATCTATCTATTGTGCCCATAGGTGTAGGTTTGGTCTCAACATTGGTAGGGACACCATGGCACCCATCCAAAACAAAGAGATTGTCTTTTTTTCTATGACATATATGTCATAGATATGTCATAAGTCATAGTATACTAAGGCGTAAAAAGTCAAAGCATAAGAAGGCAGAAAAATGATAGTATAGTAAGACATTAAAAAAATGCAGTATAGTGTAGTAAGGCATCAAAACATCATAGTATAGTAAGGCATAAAAAAGTCACAGTATAGTATGTCCTAGAAAATATCCTAGTATAGTAAGTCATAAAAAGTTCTCACCACTGCACCACTGTGATGCCCCATGAATAAATCATAGTACAGTAAGGCATAAAAAGTCATGGTCTAGTTACTCATAAAAAGTCATAGTATAGTAAAGCATAAGAAAGTCAAAAAACGTCATAGTAAGGAATAAAAATGAAAAAAAAAACATCATAGTATTCTAAGGCATAAAATGTCATAGTATAGTAAGACATAAAAAACGCCATAGTATAGTAATGGCATAAAAACATCATGGCATAGTTAAGCTCAAAACACCATAGTTCAGTATGGCACAAAAAGTCACAGTATAGTAAGGCATAAAAAAGTCATAGTCTGGCTAGGGGAGAACATGCAAACTCCACACACAAAGGCTCCATGCCTGGAGTTCAAACACAGAACTTTCTCACTGTGAGGCGAAAGTTTTAACCACTACACCACGGAGCCGGGTTTTTTGTTTTGCTCTCGCAGTCCCTCTCTCTATCTCTTTCTCTCTACCTGTCTCCCCAATAGGAGTCCAGCACCTGTCGACACCTGCTGTAAATTACGCCCTAGCATCAATGGAGGTACCTGTTGAGCGGTGAGGGCCCCTGTTGTCACAGCTGCCACCTACCTATCAAGTGCTTGGGAGTGGAATCTCCTCCCAACCTGATCCTCCTGCTCCAGCATGTGCCAGAGTTCTGTTTTTTGTTGTTTTAGTTTCTGATATTAATTGTAGGGTTGGAGATCACTGGTAGTTCAGTTACAGTCTTTGTTTTGGTTTAGGTTAGTTTTGAATTAGATAGTTAAGAAGGAAGTCGCTGAGTGTGATGGCTCATGGCGAGGCTTGATCAGCAGCCTCCCCTTCTTTTGTACCTTTTGGCCAGGATCTCGACCCCTCTTTTTGTTCCTTTAGGTTTGTTGAGTAAACTACATCTTTGGATATGTTTGAAATAAACTGATTAGTCATTTCTGTCTGGCGTCCTTCTTTATGTTATGGCCTCCAGTTTAAGTCCGTAGTTTTGGTAATAAAGAGGACTGTAACACCATAAATATATAATGTTATAATGAAATAAGTCATAAAAGTAGTCATCATAGTAGAATAAGGCATAAAAACGTCATAGTATAGTAAGGAATTAAAACATCATAGTATACTGAGGCAAAAAGACATAGTATAATAAGGAAAAAATGTCATGATATGGTGAGGCAAAAGAGTCATAGACAGGGATCAAGATTCATATCATACTAAGGCATAAAGAGAAATGATATAGTAAGGCATGAAAATGTAAAAAAACGTCATAGTATACTAAGGCATAAGATTTCACAATAAAGCAAATGTCATAGTATAATGAGGCATAAAAAGACATACAAACAACAGTATAGTAAGGCATGAAAACAACATAGTAAAGCTAGGCCTGAAAAGTCACAAAAACGACATAGAATAGTAGGGCCTAAAAATTCATGAAAATGTCATAGTATAGTAAGGCATAAAAAGTCATAACATAGTAAGGCCTAAAAAGTCATAAAAACAACATAGTATAGTAAGACGTAAAAATGTCAAAAAACGTCATAGCGTAGTAAGGCATAAAAAGTCATAAAAACAACATAGTATGGTGAGGCGTAAAAATGACATAGGATAGTAAGGCGTAAAAAGTCTTAAAATCGTCATAGTATAGTAAGGCATAAAAAGTCATAAAAACGTCATACGTCCTCAATATACTATGACATTTTATGCCTTACTATACTATGACATTTTATGCCTTACTATACTATGACATTTTATGCCTTACTATACTATGACATTTTATGCCTTACTATACTATGACATTTTATGCCTTACTATACTATGACATTTTATGCCTTACTATACTATGACTTTTTATGCCTTACTGTACTATGTCGTTTTTATGTCTTTTTATGCCTCACTATTTTATGACTTTTTATGCGATAAAAACGACATAGTACAGTAAGGCATAAAAAGTTAGAAAAACGTCATGGTATAGTAAGGCATAAAATGTCATAGTATATTGAGGACGTATGACGTTTTTATGACTTTTTATGCGATAAAAACGACATAGTACAGTAAGGCATAAAAAGTCATAAAAACGTCATACGTCCTCAATATACTATGACATTTTATGCCTTACTATACTATGACATTTTATGCCTTACTATACTATGACATTTTATGCCTTACTATACTATGACATTTTATGCCTTACTATACTATGACATTTTATGCCTTACTATACTATGACATTTTATGCCTTACTATACTATGACATTTTATGCCTTACTATACTATGACATTTTATGCCTTACTATACTATGACATTTTATGCCTTACTATACTATGACATTTTATGCCTTACTATACTATGACATTTTATGCCTTACTATACTATGACATTTTATGCCTTACTATACTATGACATTTTATGCCTTACTATACTATGACATTTTATGCCTTACTATACTATGACATTTTATGCCTTACTATACTATGACATTTTATGCCTTACTATACTATGACATTTTATGCCTTACTATACTATGACATTTTATGCCTTACTATACTATGACATTTTATGCCTTACTATACTATGACATTTTATGCCTTACTATACTATGACATTTTATGCCTTACTATACTATGACATTTTATGCCTTACTATACTATGACATTTTATGCCTTACTATACTATGACATTTTATGCCTTACTATACTATGACATTTTATGCCTTACTATACTATGACATTTTATGCCTTACTATACTATGACATTTTATGCCTTACTATACTATGACATTTTATGCCTTACTATACTATGACATTTTATGCCTTACTATACTATGACATTTTATGCCTTACTATACTATGACATTTTATGCCTTACTATACTATGACATTTTATGCCTTACTATACTATGACATTTTATGCCTTACTATACTATGACATTTTATGCCTTACTATACTATGACATTTTATGCCTTACTATACTATGACATTTTATGCCTTACTATACT